TTCTGCTGACTCAACATCTCTGTTACTTGCGCCGCTGAAATATAATCCTCTTCTGCTTCAACATCCTCATTCGCTTCTGATTTATTAGCTCTTTTCCCTCTTGGAGGCATTTTAATAGTTGTAGAATTTGTTCAAAGACTTGAAAATGTAGAAGATGTGAAAAATCGTAGAACAGACAAGAGGAGCAGTAAAGACATCTGCTCTCGCTTGCAACCCGGAAGTCCATTTCTTGAAAACAGGCACTAATAAAGCTGGTCTCTCTGCTGCACTGTAAAGAATGTAAAATGAACAGCGTTATCTTTACCTCTGTCTCCGAGTCAGCTGGTGGTGGGACACTGCGAGGGGTGTCGTAGATGCCATCATCACCCCCAAGGGCAGGTGGGACTGGACGCTGCCATCTGCCACTGGGTGGAGTATCATAAACCTACCAAGACAGCAAAAACACAAAGCCAAATTTTAATGTCAAGCCATGATTGAATTAAAAATATGTATAACCCTGATTAAAAATCAATAATTTGAATGCACAACATAACCAAGCAGAATAACAATTTCAACTGTGTAATAAGTGAAGTAGCTGTCACACCTGGTCATTTTCTGACTTTTTATTCTGCACATTGCTGCTTTTCTCCAGGCAGTTATTCATCCTTTCATTATTACTCTGAGAACTTCCACTCTGTTTGTTCTCTTCTTGCTGCAAACCTGCAGAAGTGGTCTGAGAGGCAGGTTTGGGGATAGAGTTAGAATCAGATGATGGTGCTGCTTGCTGATTATCTTTTCTGGTGACTCCCCTCACTGGAGGCGCTGGTGGAGGAGGCTTGCGAGCAAAGTTCGGTGATCCTGGAACCCTGACTTGCCCTGCTCTGACCAGCAAAGGGGACCCCCGGTTACAGACCAGGCCAGATTTCCCTCTTGCAGCAGCAGGGTTGGGTGAAACACCTTTAAGCAGAGGTCTGGGAGATACCTGAGCAGGGGATAATTGAGACGGGTGCTCGTGGGCCAAAACAATAGCTGAAGTCCTCGGAAGGCTTGCTCCCACAGAGGAGGGTGATTGGTACATCCCAGGTGTGTCCTGGCTCACTTTGGGGTGGGGAATACCAGGTGTTCCACTTATTATAGAGGGGCTATTAGAGGTGGTGGCCGCACCTCCTCCTGTTGGGGATTGGTAAACATCATCACCTGCAAGTGGTGTACCTTTGGGTACCAAGTAACAGTCATCAGAGTGTCCTGTGGTTAGTGTTTCTCTAGGGACTAGATATGTAGTGTCCTCTGGCTCATCAGCTGCCCTCGGCACTCCACTAGGTGAGAGGTACACAGACTCTGAAGCCATTGGCGCACCAGGCTGCCTGGCATGGTGAGCTGCTGAGGGTATGGGACTTACTGGAGTCTGATATAGTGTTCCTGTCATTTGTGTTCCTCGTCCTCTCAGAGATGGTGAACGTGGGCGCCCCATCACCCCAATATCCCAGTCAGGTCTGGGCCGAGTGCCAGAGCTGGAGTGAGAGCGTGGGCGCCCACCCTCAACTCTATGGAGCTCCCCGGGCCTTGAGGAAGCTGCTGCTCCTCGCCCCTCACCCACACCTGGTGGGGAGCGATACGATCCATCTATGTCCTCTGCACTACTGCCGACAGCTGTCCGGGCCAAAGGGGGGCCAGGTGATAGGTAAACAGAATCTTCACTAGGGCCGCGATGGAGGTCTGAGCCTGGTGGTGGTGCGGTCTGGAGGAGACGAAGACGGTTGGCAGGGGCAATACCTTGTCTGCCATGCAGTGAACAGAGCCACCAGCCGGGCCCACCACTCTGCTCCTGTTCAATAACCATTAGGATGTCACCTTTTCGGAAAGCCAGCTCCTCCGGGCTCTCTGCCGTGTTGTCAAACAGCGCCTTTGCCAATACAGTCTGAGAAGGAGGAGACAAAAGCAGAAATCGTAAATAAAGATCCACCCATTAAGCAATTCCCTGACACACACCAAAATTTAATCAACAGCCTAAATTCACACAGGCAAGTGTCTCATATCTGTACACCACAAACACACAAGTGCATTGACATGGCAACAGTCAGTCAAGAGTATAAAAAGGTCGGTTGTTTAACACTACTAAATGGAGAGTGAATAGGAGTGAAGGGGGAAGATCTCGTTAAATGTCCATGTGAGAGACCAAAGGACGTGAAGAGAATGGGCTGGAAAATATAAAAGCTAACTCAAAATTCACAGCTGCATTAGTAATCATGAAGCAGAGAGAAAGAGGGGCACAGTCGGGGAGGATCAATGAGCAAATGGACACAAGGGCTTAATGGTAATGAGTGAGATGAGAGGGAGGGGGAGGGGATGAGAGGCACATCTGTCCCTTGCTGTTTAGGGTTTAATCGCCAAACTAAAGCCAGTGAGTCAGGCCCCCTTTCATTTTCTAAACCAACCCCCATGGGGACAACCAGGCTCAACTGAGCCACGTGAGGCCCCTTAAAATAGCAATATCCAGATACAATATATAGGTATGGTTGGATAACACAGGAACATACAAACATGCTCAGCATTTTTTGCCATGTGAGTTTAGATCACATTTGTGACCCTTGTGATAACATTACATACAAATTCACAGAAAGAAACAAACCCTGTACTCACAGAGACCGACATTGTTGATAAATTAAGAGTAGTGTCTCAGAGAAACTATAGCTCAAGAGTCTTTGTCAGTCGGGCTCATCCATCTAGATCAGCTGTGCTTCTCGGAGTTGTACTGGTCGCCAGAGAGACTCGGTGCCGAGGAACAGCTGGGTCTGGGTGGGATACATCTCAAAGTCTGGGCGCCTCGTCGTCCGCCTTCATAAGAATCCTGCAATCCATGCAAATAAACGCCCTTTTCACGCCTAAACTGTAAGACACCGAGACAAATTTAGCAATATTTGTCAACCTCAACTACAAGTTACTAGACACGTGAAATGAAAAGTAGGCACACAGCGGCAGCACCTGTCTATCCTTTCCCATTCCACGCCCAGTTACGTTAAGCGCAGCCCATACAGCGAAAGCTAACGTTAGCTTAGCATCGTAAATAATGAAGCGGTATGCACTCGTTAAGCGAATATATACAAATATGACAACTGAGTATGTAACTGCTATCTAGGATAAATATACACCATTTTAGCAGCAGTTGGCTAGAATAACGTGAGTTATGTTGCCGCGGCCTAGCTAACTAGATATTGTTACTACGTTAACACTGGTTATCTTAATCGCCTTTCTCTGCTAATGCTAACCTTTACTTCAAAACAACAATGGCACCGCTGTTGAAGCCAATTCGGTTGTCAGCCAACGTTAGCGCACAACACTGTACTCATAAAATAATTACCTCGGTTTTTTTCTGACCGCCGATAAGCCTTCCATCAGTGCACTCTTTGATGCGTAAAATCACTTCTTTCCAGGCGTGAAAAATCTGTGGTCATTGGCGTTCAATCATCTTCGGCGATGACAACAAAATTATCTCCGCCTCCTCGCTCAGAGGTTTACGTAGTTCGCTGATCTAAAACAATAACCTGAATTTGAGCATCATGGCCAACCCTCGACATTAGACCAATCCAACATCTGTGAAGTCGCGTGGATCCCTCGCAGCGTAGATTACACAGCTTGTGTGATTGGCTCTTTCTGTAGGTTGTGTTTAAAGACATCCGAATTTTACAGTTAGCCCAATACCTAAACTGTAGCGTTAAATTAAGAAAAACAACATATGTAACCCGCCCTCTACCGCTACTATTATCGGTCGTTATGAAGAAATATTACAATTCTTTTAACAATTTACATTGCTATTTTGACGGGTATAAGTGTAACGTGAGTTAGACACAGCAGTCAAATGCGATCGACTATTAAAGGCTTTTATTCTGACAGCGAGACTTTTACCCAGAAAGCATTGACACATCAGTAGTCGACGGTAGTTTGAAGTCCAAACTTGGGGAGATATTTGTTTGTACAACTTTATCTTCAGTTTTTCATGAATTGCAAGGTGAGATCATTCTTTTGATACATTTGCATAACTGCATTACCTTGTTAATTCATGGCAGTAGGTATAAACATACATTTGAACTGAGCTGAGCGTGCCTTTTAAAATAGCGATTAAGAATTGTATTATTTCTGCAGCTTCACCGTGGATCCCTATGTGTAACCTATGGTTTAGGTGACTGGTGAAATAATACTTACGAATTCCATTCAGTCTTCACTCTTCATTTTGATTTGTGCACCACAGCTACCATTGCTCATGTGATCTCTACGCTAGTTACCCAGTGTTTTGATAATCATGGTCAGTGTCTATGCTCTGTTCACAGGTTATGCTGGGGAGTGTTTTCAGGTGCCTTAGAACCAGTCCTGTTGCTGGGAAAAGAAGTATGTCTCAGAGCAGTCTTGCTGGAAAGGTAGCCATAGTCACTGCCTCTACAGATGGGTAAGAATTAGTCTACATGATTAACCATGTACTGTCATGTACTGTTTCCTTGGTCATTTCCCAGTGACCAAGGAAATGACTCTCCACATATCCAGGCATCAAGGATTATATTTGAAGGGATCTTCAGCACTTGTATTAAAGTTGCATATCACTTAAAACCACATTCACAATAATAATCCATGGTGCTCCTCTCCACTTCCTCAGCATTGGTCTAGCTACTGCCCAGGCTCTGGGCAAGAGAGGAGCCCACGTGGTGGTGAGCAGCCGACGGCAGGCCAATGTGGACAAGGCTGTGGCACTGCTGCAAGGCCAGAGTATCCAAGTGACCGGGACCACCTGTAATGTTGGCATTGGAGCAGACAGAGAGAAACTGGTTCAAATGGTGAGTTTTGTGGTGGCAATTTTTATAATAGCGCCCCTTAAGTTCTTTAGCTGATGCTTTCATGTCATTGTATGCAGTCATTTGTGTGGTTGTGACCCCAGACCGTTTATTGCATGGTTGTAAACCTTTGTACAACAGTTTCATCAGAAGCTGGTTCATAAAAGATGCATCTGAGGAGTTATCAGAGAAAATTAGTGAGTCTAAGGAAATCCACAAATTGAAAATGTCAATAAAAGACTAGGTGACCCCAGACCGCGATAATACTGAATACGATAATACTGAAATTATTGTGATGAATCAGTTGAGTCTTTATTTTATGGACCAAAGTAAGTTGGTCCTCGGACAGTTACAATTAGTTTAGGCCACATCACTACGTGCTGTTTACTTTGAGATTGTCAGTGATATGTTTTTGTTTGGAACAGACTCTGGATCAGTGTGGGGGCATCGATATCCTGGTATCCAACGCAGCAGTAAACCCTTTTTTTGGTAACATCATGGACTCCACAGAGGATGTGTGGGACAAGGTACATTACACAGATGTTATCCCAGGACTCAATTATAAAGCCAGTTCTGCACAGACAGAAAAATATGAGTCATCTTTTTGTCTCTAAAAACAGTAAATGTTGTATTTATTATCGTTACTGAGCAGTTTTACATTTCTTTCTAGATCCTGTCTGTAAATGTTAAATCGGCCTTCCTCATGACCAAGTTGGTGGTGCCTCACATGACGAAGAGGGGGTGAGTGAAATCTACAACACGGTACATCATATAGTATTTGAAAGACATGGACTCAGAAAGATCCAAACAACAATGAAGATGATAAAACTTTTATTTGTCTGCATTTTCTAGAGGGGGAAATGTAGTATTTGTGTCGTCTGTGGCTGGATACCAACCGATGCAGGTCAGTGAGAGGATGAGCAACATTTACCTCAAACCTATTGCTAATAAGATAAATAGGAGCAGCTTAAATTCTAAAACTGCACTCAGCTTTTGTTGTAAAATAACCCGTAGTACATCTAATATGGACATCTTTGAAGGCAGGAACCAGCAGTCTGTAAAAATTGTCCACAGTACTGGAGTCTTGTAGATGGAACAGTGGGTGGTTGATAAATTGTCTTTGGCTTCATCACACTGAATTTAAAAACAAGACAATTAATGAGGACACACATCAACAATGTAGGATCAACTAACAACATTATTTTACCAGGCATTAACACAGTTTAATTAAGAAAAGCTCTGAAGGTGGTCAGCATGTGTACTATGTCCGTGGCATGTTGATGGACTCTCTCTCCAGGCTCTGGGTCCCTACAGTGTGAGTAAAACAGCTCTGCTAGGTCTGACCCGGGCCCTCGCTCCTGAGCTGGCTCACAGTAACATTAGAGTCAACTGTGTGGCCCCTGGAATCATCAAGACCCGCTTCAGCTCTGCGGTGAGAACACACACTCACATGGGGCTTTTGTCCTCAAATATTGCGTTCTGCACCTTCTTGATGAATATTGTAGTTTCTGTAACATACAAATTTTCCTGTCCCAGCTGTGGCACAATGAAGACATTATAGATGAATTCAAAAAGATGCTCAGCATTAAAAGGTACACTTAGACATTGATGTTATTAATCCACAAATACTGCATATGAATAAATTATAAATGCCACATTCCACATTTCCTTTTGACATTTATTCAGACTTGGAGAACCAGAGGAAATTGGTGGAGTGATTGCCTTTTTGTGCTCAGAGGAGGCTTCTTACATCACTGGAGAGACCATCACAGTGACTGGAGGGATCAACTGTCGACTCTGAGCCTCCAGTGACTACACAAATTCACTGTTGCATATGCCTCTCTGTAAATTATGTTTCACTGTAATTCTGATTAGTTCCACTATTCCTCTGAAGTGATGGAACGGCACAGTAATTTAGCAAAATGTTTAAAAAAAAAAAAAAAGTGAAGTATACCTAAGATCAACCAGGATTTGGTGATCTTACATTTAATTGCTAATGCGAAATTTTCTAATTGTCATTTTACACAGCTTCACACATCAGATAATGAATGTTTAAGTTGACAGTCGTATGGATTATAAACTGAAACAGATGATGCTGCCAGACACACTGCTGTTATGTTTATTTTTTTACCATGTGGGTATCAAATGGGCAGTTCACCATTGCGAGCCACTCATGTAACTGGGTTAACAAAATGCAAAATAATACAAAGTCATACAAAACATTACTGCAACATGAAGAAAAAAAACTTTATTAACTGAGCATGTTAAATGCCAGTTTTGAAATATTTACAAACATAAAATATAGCACACTATGCAGTAACAATGTATATTTGCACGACAGTGCCCATAATATGCTATTCCAGGGCTTGTTTTCCATGATAAACCCATGTTAAACTCAGTCTGGTTCAGCTATAACAAAATCATAAATCAAGAGTAAGATTAATAATAATTCTCCACCTGCCACAGTAGCTTATCAATCAGTGTAGCCGGTGGACAAAACCAGCTTAGCCAGAGGTGTTTGGCATTTAACAAACTTGGCAGTAACGATCTTTTACATCATCTGCGTCTACTGCCAGTAGACGAGTCCCGCCGTGCCATCCCAGGCTTCCAGAACTCCCTCAGAGTGGGAACGTATGTGCCATGTTTGGTCTTGTAGTAGCGCTTCATAAACAGCTGAGGGAGGTAGAGACAATTAGAAACTACCATTGACTGTTCATCTTTTTTGTAATGCTACATAAACTGCCCGATAAAACCCCAAACATGACTGAAATATTAGGAAAGCGATTTACTGTACCAAGTACAATACAATAGTTACTTGCTTCAAATTCCCTCTGACACCTACTTTTAATTGCACATCATATAGGCATAATTTTTTTGGAACTTGTAAAAAATGCTGAAATTATGTCTGCTGCAGGATAAGAGGGAGGTAGAGACAATTAGAAACTACCATTGACTGTTCATCTTTTTTGTAATGCTACATAAACTGCCCGATAAAACCCCAAACAAATATTTTCATTCCAAATTTCATTTCTACAATAAGACACATTTCCAGTGCCCATGGAAACCTTGTTCTCTCATGGTTCAGCCATACATACCCTGCCTTTGAAGTTCTTTGTTCCCTCATCCTCAGAATCGGCTACATAGTCCTCACCATCACCTGGAGGAGTCAGTGTCTCTAAACATAAAAGTAAACAGTTAAACTACAACTCATGCAGTTTGTTGCTGCTCATCAGTGATATTAAATAATCCTCTATGTTCAATTTATTTTGTTTCTTAAATCACCTGTGTTGCTCCGCTGCCAAGAAGGAGTGCTGCTTAAACCCACTGATAAAAGATGATTTCTGTCAAGTAGAAACAACATAATTAAGACTGAAACGCATCTAAATGATAAATTCCTTTTTATAGGAAACACAGCTCTAAAAGGGAAAAATAGTCATACATACTCATAAATCTGTCATTTCACACAGAAACAGAAAAACCAAACCAAACCAGAAACACTGAACTAAATATTTTATTGTATTTATAGGATTGAAATCATAGTCTGCAATGACAGCGTCCACAACCAACTGAACTTTGTGTACTTAAGTCTGTAAGTTTTGCAATAAACCTTCACATAATACCAAAGCACTCTTTGCACTATGTCTCTTACTCTTTATCAGCCAAGCCAGGAAATTCTGAGTCAAGCTTTCGAGGCTGGCTGCTTGTGCTTTTGCGCGTTGGAGTTTCGTCCAGCGACTTCTTCCTCTGATTCTGCTGTTCCTCGTGTAAGGACATTTCTCCTCCACCAGTCCTGCTAGTGCTAACAGAGGCTACTGACAATTTGTTGATAACAACTCTGGGTTGGTTGCATAGACAAGACAAGAAAATAGAGCAGAGGGCTGGGTTTTGAGGCAGGTGGAGCGATCTGACTCCCAGCTGGATCAGATGGTTTGCCAGGTCTGAGTTTCTCACGGTTTTTCCTCTGTCTTCTTTGCCCTCGTTTGTTCCTTGGTCACCTCTATCCTGCATGGACCTGCTTAACCTTTTTTTTCCAGGTGTGGTCATGGCTAACACTTCTTCCTCCTCATCAGATCCACTTTTGTAAGGCTGTTTACGTTTCACTCTGCTGCTGCTTTCTGAGGTGTCCCTCTCCTTCTCTGGCTGTTCTTCACCATCTCTCACTCCATCATCTTTGGCTTCTTGTCTCTGTTTAACCACAGTGAATTTCAAGTTCTTTTTTGGGTCCAAGAGCTTGTTTGTTGCATCTTTTGAGCAGGCTGGCTCATCTCCTCGTGGTGTCCTCTTACTGGCAGAAAACATAATTGGTACTTCTTCATTAGATATTAGTCCAATAACAGGTGTAATAAACAGTGTCTCGTCTCGTGTCTGTGTGCCATCAGACTGGCCCGTAGAAGATGATGTTGGATGATTTGAAGGTACTCTTCCAGATGGTGGCAGAGAGAGTGAAGCCAGGATGGAGTCTCCCAGGTTTGGAGGGACAGATGCTGTAAAACAAAGTTTTTAAATATTAGAAGCATACACTAAAGGTCTTGGTGTTACAGTCATCCTAGCAAGAAGCTAACAAGCCTCCTTATTCTACCTGCTGACTCAAGATGACCCAGACAGGCTTGGTGCTGAAGCAAAATCTTCAGAAGCTGGGGTTGGGTGGCTGCCTGCGCACACTCCTCCAGGACAGGGGGGGCATTACTGAGCCACGACACAGTCTGGAGGCAAATAAATAGACATCGCTTCCTTTTAAAAAAACAACACTACATTTGAATAAAGTTTTCTTCTTAAAATTCAGTCAAAATCTCATTAGAAGATTAATGGTAACAGCACAAGAGCAACTTTTTCCAAACTCACAAGTGTTGTAGGCTTGTAAACTAAAAATGGGTGTAATAAAGACTGCTCCGAGTTGCCTTTTTACAATAGAATAAAAATTGCATTAAAGCAGTAATGACAAGTGCAATAAACTGGGTGTAATTTCTGACAAAGCAAAGGGAGCTGTTCTCAGATGGACTCACTACCTGAGCGAGGTTGGGAACTGGGAGAAACTGGTCTAGTCGAATCAGAAACTCCCACAGCAGCTTCTCCAGGTCCTGGTCAAACTCTGGACCAAAATGCACAGAAAACTCCTCCTGTCAGAGGAGAGAAGAAGAAGAAGAGTGGTCAGTCGTTTACCTTCCTGCTTCTCCACTGAGCAGAGATTTAAATCATTAGCTGCTGCTGAGCTGTTGTGTCACTGGAGCAGAGGAACTCACCCTGAAGAACTCTCCTCTCTTGGCTGGGTCTGTTAGCAGCATGTGAACCAAAGAATGGAAATTTTCAACTGTTCTTACAATTTTTACATCTTCACTCTAGAAGACAAAATAGCAAAAATTACATTTCATACCACAAAAATTTCAAGAACACTTGTTTTAATATTATAACCACCCAAGCAAATGCTTCAGAATTCAGACATCTAAGATTTTGATTATTTTAATGTCACAATACCCCTTAATATCATGCGTCTCAATAATATTGTGACATTTAGTTCTCTAATCACCTCCGAGCTTTAGTGGTGTTGCTTGTGATGTAGCAATGTCACCATGGAGCTGTAATAGTTTGTGCTAACCAAAGACTGAAGATTAATCTGATGGAGTCTTTGTCTAAAATAAACATCTACTAACTGTTGACAGCGTACAATGATGATGCACTTGGTTTTAAGATTCTGAGCATATGATTTTGTAATGTACCACAGCGGAAGCAGAAGAGGATGAAAGGGCAGCAGGTGCACAGATCCTTTTCAGGTGAGGCTCAATCACCTTAGCATCAGGCTGTGTACAGCACAACTCCAATATTAGCTGTAAAGAAAGGAAAAGATCATCAATCATGCAGTATGTGTACACATCAAGCCAGGCTGACAATAACAAAAAATGTGTACACATCAAGCCAGGCTGACAATACCAAAAATATATATGGTAATGCTGCATCTGTCAAAATGGAGAATAACATAGTCTGACAGAGATTGGAGGCAGTGGCATCAAAATCCGACTTCTCGTCCCTTGTAAGCCTCACCCGTGCTCTCAGCCCCAGTGCCAGCCTGCCCTGGTGCCTCACGGTGAGCAGCCCAGGAGTTGTCTCACAGGTCGACGTTACAAACTCCTCCACAACCCCATACTGCATCACATCCCTCTGCTTCATCACCTTCCAGAGAGCTGCAGACACCAGACGCACAGGTGGGGCCAGCATCTGAAGAGCAGCAAACGGAAGGGTGGCATCTGTGCAGGAGATAATAAATTAATAAATTAATAGAAACTGATCTAAATAAACCACACAGGGTTGTCAATCAATCAAAACTTGTTGTTTCCAAGGACTGACGAACTGATGCTAATGCCAGACTCTCCCTATTTGTCTGCTGAGTGAGGACGTAGCACGACGACTATTATGATGTGAATTACGAAAAGATTGGCCAAATAAAAACCTTGACGTCCAAGCTGTAGAGTAATCACAGCTATTAACACTTACCGCTTTCCTGGGGTTTCCTTGTGGCCATCCCAGTGAGTCAAAGTCAGCTAGTTAACCAAACTGACGATAACGCTCGCCTGGCAACTTTTAGTCAAATTGCTGCCAGATAAATCTTCGCATCTGACGCGGAAGCAACAGTTTATCCAAACAAAGTTGTTTAGGAAATGCCGCTGAGATTATGTTTACTAACACTGGCAAATATTGGAATGACCTATTTAAAGATTACTATTATTACCCACGACAAACAAGGATAGGAATAGACGACTAAAAGTTCTGCTTCTCATCCTCGCGCCTTCATGGGAAAAATATCGTTCGTTCAAATCCTTACTTTGGGCGTGCCGACTTGGCGGTGCTTCGAAATATATAATAGCAGTCATACGCTCAAAAAGGAAACTCCGCCCATGCGTCCCCACGTGAAAAATGAAATGAGCGCATCCAAACTTGTTACCAGGAAATGACGTTGACAGACAGCCTTTCAGTTCACATGTTTTAACTTGTTTTAAAAAACAAAATGTTTTAAAAAGTGAAGTAAAATGTTAGCACATGACTGAGCATATGAGTAGGAATAACGTACCAATAAAAAGCAAAAAATAAAAATAAAAAAAAATTAATTAAATGGTAAAATGTTGTAGGTATTCATTTGAGTTTATAGTCAAAGCCTAGAATTTCTTAAAACATTGTAACATAACAAAGTACTGCTGCAGTATATTAATACTGAGGAGCACACAGGAACTGAGGAGTTTATTAACACATTATATAGATGCAGTTTATACCCAAAAATCACAAAACCAAGTAGATTAACAACCCAGCATGCAACACTAATAGATAATATATTTACTAATGATATTGACAGCAAAATGTCTAGTGGGTTTCTCAGTTAACCGCTTTGTTTACCTATTGATGGAGGAAAAATTCAACTTAATTAATGCCCTTGAAGTTTGTTGTGCTGTCCACTTTTGACAACACCAGCAGCAGGAGGTGTGCTCATTCACAAACTATCCTCTTGTTTTTAGGAAGAGGCTCTCTGGTTTTATTGTTCTGAAAAAAATTACAGATTTGAAGCTATGATGGGTACAAAGCAAAGTAACAACCCAGCATGAAACATTAATTGATAATATATTTACCAATGTTATTGACAGCAAAATGACAAGTGGATTACTTATAAATGATATTAGTGATCATCTACCAGTATTTGTGGTTTATGATGGCCAGTATAGAAAAGAGAGGCCAAAAACAAATCTTTTCTATAGGAGGGTGATTAATGAACATGCTGTAAGGAGGCTAAAAGAGGATTTTATGGGGCAAAACTGGGAATCAGTTTACAGAGAGGAAGACTTAGATAAAGCATATGAGCAATTTTTAAATATATTTAAGAAAGTATATGACAGGAACTGTCCTCGTAAGCAGTATAAAAACAAAAGGAATTACAGTGGGAAACCGTGGATGAGTAAGGGATTACAGAATGCATGTAAAAAGAAGAATGCGTTATATAAGGAATTCATAAAGGACAGATCAAAGAAGGCGGAAGAAAAATATAAGTCATATAAGAACAAATTAATTGAGATTTTGAGGAGATGTAAGAAACTATATTACTCTAAAGTATTAGAGGATAATAAAAATAACATGAGAGGTACTTGGAATATATTAAATAAATTGATTAGAAACAGTACCAGCAGGAGTAACAACCCTCAATATTTTATGGATAATGATACACCGGTCAAGAGATTTGAGGACGTAGTTGAGAAGTTTAATAGGTTTTTTGTGAATGTGGGTCCTGGTTTAGGAAGAAGCATTTGTACAGATGATACAGTGCCTTGCGAAAGTATTCGGCCCCCTTGAACTTTGCAACCTTTTGCCACATTTCAGGCTTCAAACATAAAGATATAAAACTATAATTTTTTTGTGAAGCATCAACAACAAGTGGGACACAATCATGAAGTGGAACGAAATGTATTGGATATTTCAAACTTTTTTAACAA